CGGGCACATCCCCAGTGGGAGATGTGCAGGAGGCAGCTGATCGATGTTTCTCTCTCATCAGTGTTTCTAACTCTCTATCTCTCTCCCTTCCTCTCTGTAAAAAATCAATAAAATATTTAAAAAAAAAAGAGAGAGAGAGAGAGAAGATGGAGGAAAACCAGCCCAGAAAAGGACTTGCCTGTGGTCACACAGCACCTCGGTATAGATCTAGGACTAGGACCCAGGTCCCCAAACCCCCACTTACATGTTCCATAGCATGCTAGCCACCCCCCATCTCTCACATCCCTATTCAGCCACCAAGTATCTTTCATTGGGCATGACCTTGCTCAAAGTCTTCAGTGGTCCACTACTGAAGGGTCAAATGAGGATGGGTTAGGGAAAGACAAACTCCCAGACCTCACATTGAGGCCACATGGTCTACCCCCCACACTCATTTATTACCTTTTCAACCTTGTCTCCCCAGCACCTCTTCCTAGCCAGGTGGAAATCCTCTCCAGTCCAATTCCCACCTCATACCTCCATACCTTTGCCTGTGCTGCTGCTTCTGGAACGCCTTCCCCCTGCCCCCCCTCCACCCAGCCAGGTCCACTGAGACCCTCTTCCAGGAAGCTTCCCCAGTCACCCCCATCATGTGGCCTGTCCCACCTCTGAGGGCTGGATCAGACCTTCCAGTTTGTTCTTTGATAGTAATCACCTCTTATTGTTCATGTGTACTGTAGGCTACCAACTAGACCAGCCGTGGGCAAACTACGGCCCGCGGGCCGGATCCGGCCCGTTTGAAATGAATAAAACTAAAAAAAAAAAAAGACCGTACCCTTTTATGTAATGATGTTTACTTTGAATTTATATTAGTTCACACAAACACCCCATCCATGCTTTTGTTCCGGCCCTCCGGTCCAGTTTAAGAACCCATTGTGGCCCTCGAGTCAAAAAGTTTGCCCACCCCTGTTTTAAATTTTGAAACATTTGAATGTATTACATATCCCCCACAAAATAATCACATAAAATTAAACAGAAAGGAGGACAAATTGTGTTTAGTTCCTGGTGTTTAGTTGTACCAAGGTGCCTGTCACACTTGGTGCCCTGTGTGCGGGGCAGTCCCATGTGATGACGCAGGGCACCCACACAGGGTGGGGTGAGTATCAGGTCTGCTCACCAGGCCAGGCAGGTCCAGGTCAGTCCCCATGACAAGCCTGGGTGGAGCTGCACTAGGCTCGGGTGTCAGACCCTGACCCGGGCCCGGCTGGTGTTCGGCCCCCTGGAGGAGAGAACTGCTCCCCTCTGAGGAGCTTACAGCCAAGAGTCCCATAGGAAATATAAGAGACAATAGCAAGAAAAGCAGCTGTTATTAATGTAGCACAGTGGACGAAAAGGGGGCCACATACTAACCCTGACAAGCTCAGGGAGGCCCGCATGGTGGCTTTACAAACTCAGAGGCCGAAAGTAACCACAGAGGAGGATCTGAACGCTGAAATTCCTAACTGAAAGCGGGTCACTGGGCGGGAGGGGGGCGGGGACGGGAGTCACATCCTAGGCATGTAGCTTCCTGGGCAAAGGTGGATCTTTACCTTAAGTGAACCCGTCTATTGTCTTTTCACACTAAGAGAGCACACCTCTGAAATGGCAGAGTAACCTTTTCCAGGCCCATCAAGGCGCAGCTGCCTGCACCGGAGCAGGAGGTCCCGGAACCGCTCCTCGTTACCTTGCTCCCAGCGTACCCCCTCGATGTGCTGTAAATGTTCATTAACTATCCTGTACCCACCAAGGTAAACACCAATAGGGTTTCTCTATTTTGCCTTTTTATCCAATCCCAGAGATGTCCCCACTTTGCTTTCTCCCGCCTCCTTAATCTACCACTAATGGATTTCAAGGAACCCTCCTTCCCTTCTCCCTTTATCCCAGCGTATAAAATAAGCTGCCATTCTCCAGAGCATTTTCTCAATCCATTGAGATTTTGCCTCCCAGCAGTTGTCATCAGTTTGGCTCAAATAAACTCATAAAGATTATCTACATACAGGCTTGGAAGTCCCTTCCAGTCCTGCCTGTGGAACTAAAGATCCTGCCCCAGGTGCTTGAAAGGTCTCTCTCCGTGGCTCCTTTCATCCCTGTGAGCAGGCGCGAGAGGGAAGCCCCTTCCCTAGTTACACGCTGGAAAGTGGCTCCAAGTCATGTTTTCTCTTCTGAGACAAATGCAGCTTGAAGCTGAAGTGTGGACACACCCAGGGCTGTGCCACGTGGTCCTGAAGCATGAAGTAAACCGTGGG